ATCAATTGATCAGAGTGTAGTTTATAGAATACTTGTTTGGAGAGTTCCTCTGTTGAGCCATGAATTCTCCTCACTCTAGATTCACTACCTTGGAAGAGCATAACTCTCTGTTCGCAATGATATCCACATACGTTTCACTTTTTCAGTCACATGTGTCCTTCGGAAGGTAAGGTTATATATCCGGTAGGAAAAGTGATAAATCCTAACTCTTTCTCTCGACGGCATCTCGTAACTCGGGCATGCCGCAGTTCTAGATCTCGGTGCTGAAGATCACGCGAAGTACTCTCGAGTATAACCACTCTCGAATCTTGGTACTAGTATTACGCGGAACTACATATGCATTAATACAATGGTATCTTATATAATACCGTTCACATATAGATTGAAACTCGCCTCAAGTCTCTCCTAGGAGTCATAGTACTGCTGATTTGGCTAGCCCACCAGCCAGAATTACTATGATAATTTGGTCTTGAAATCGCTCCGACGTAGGACATCGATGGGCTGACAAACTCGGCCATTTGATACTGGCAAAAAGCAGCTCAAACTAACAGCCTAAGTCAAGTTTAGATTCAGACCCGAAAGCTTGAGCTTAAGATGAGTATAAGTATGCACGAAAGGAGGCCTTACTAACGGTCTACATGGCGTCGGAAAGTTTTAAGAACTTACAGCACATCTGGAACTCAAGTGCACAAACTGAGGTCCACTCGATAATAATCGTAATTGAGCTCGTATCTGTGAGAAGGAGAGGAAAAGACATTTAAATATTATAATTGACACACTGCGTGATAATTCATTGTAGCGCAAGACGCAGAATGTGTGTGTCTTGGTGGTGATATAGCCAAAGGTGATTATTAGTACCTAGATACTTTTCGGGCCTAGTTAGTATCCGTGTACGGTGTGACAGCGTACATCTTTTACGCAGAGTCGTAAAGAGAAGAGAAAAAAATTTCAGGTGGGATTCTAGGTAGCAGGTCTCTTAAAGAACAGTCCTTATCAAGCAAGATGCGGGGATAATAAAGAGAAAATGAAGCCAAGCGAGAGAAAGGAAAGGCTCAGAGATCCAAGAAAGAACTATAATGAGGAGCAAGTCAAGCTAAGAAGAGGTCGCTTCATTTTGGCTCTATCCCTCGATTTAGCTCTATGGTTACCTATCAAGAAGTAGCAATTACATTTGACGGATTCACTATCAGTTTGGGACTTTTGTTTGTACTCGCTGTAAGGATTCCGTCGAATGCCATACCAACACTTATCACTATCTGTTCCTCCTCGAGATCGATTATTATTGATCCCCAATGACTCTTCTATAGCCGTATATTATATTTAAGCATGTGCCCCAGATTGTGTCATGTTTTGTTCAATTAACAGTCATAATATAACTTCCGTACTCTGTTTATATTCATGTTGACGAAAAGACGATTTCAATCAGCTGTAACATCATATTATTTAGACCTGTATGTTAGGTGCAGACAGTGAATTGTGAGTAAATCTACTAGCACGATTTTGGGCATAAATTTTCTACTGGCATGTGCAACTTCGGGTCAAAGGATTTCATCCTCTCTTTTGTTACCATATAATCTCCGATGCAAACTCTCAATCGCTTTCTATTTCTAGCAAGTTTTATAAATCCAGAAAGTCATCATTTATGTGTTTATATGGCCCAATTTAAAATTTTCCCTGCGAAGTACGAAACGTTTTATTTTTGACATAATTCTTTTGCCAGAATCGCGGAGAAATATCTCCTTATAATTACAATCATTTTCATGTTCTTCAAAAAAATTGTAACCTAGAGTTCATTTTTCAATGACATCCAATCTATAAACTGATTTTCAAAACTTCAACTGATACTTCTTTGTTTCAAATTTTGATTAATGTTAAAAAAACAATACTTCCCAAATAGTCTCCATTGCCTGATCCTTGAAGCCAATCCAATTTATGGTTCAAATTCAAGGATGAATCCTGATTATTGAACTCATTCATGGGGAGCAGTATAAGACATAGTTGCTAGATGTTGCTGTGCTGACGCTTCTGTAATTAATTTTGGATTGAAATTGTAAATTTTTGGAGATCTTTTTTGTGTAAGCAATTTTTTAAACCGGACTGCCGTTACTCTGCCCGATTTGCTCGATTCACGATTTCTGGAGTATAAAGAATCATTCTTGGGTTGTCTCTGTCCCAATTAAGTTTATAGATACTTGATCAAGATCTCTATAGATTTTGCATCAATTTTTGATTCAAATATATCTTCAAATCCTTTCGATATTATTATCGTATATTTCGATCATCATACTTTCATTCAATTCTACATAAGTTCACTTAGATTATTAAATATCCGTAGAAAATTATCATTCGGCATCCAATTATTCAAAATCCAAATTTTCTTAAAATGAACTCAATTTTGATTTTATCGCGAATACCTCGTTTAGATTTCTCTAATTAAGAATGGATAAAAGTGTTTAGTTAAAGCAATCATAGAGTTATCTTCTTCAAAAAAAATGCGATCTATTAATTGAATTTTCTTGATGATATTACCTGAAAAGACATAGTAGAAGTAGGAACTCAAGACGCTGTAACCATATAGATCAGTTTAACAAGCAATATTTATAGAATCTTTCTCCTTGTTAAAAAATAGTTATAATTTAATTTTCATCAATTGAAATTAACTATAAGTGTTTAAAATTCAACCTTGTAGAGTCTATTCTCGTTTTGCCCTTCATAACTTTAATTTCTTAACGCTAATAGATATGAAGTATTACGCCTAGAAAATACTTATCAGTATAATTCCATTTTGATATCATCAATATATTCGTTTCAGAAATAATATTTCAAAAGTCAACACCAAAAAAATATCTACAATATGAGGCTTGCCTGAGGCCGAACCTCAGCGTAAATTCACTGGAGAAGAAAACCTGCGCTACGACAGAAGCGCTTTATCCATTTGCACATATTCATCAAGCTTTTTAATTAATTAACGGCTTTACGCCTACTAGATTTCACATTATGGAATCCATCGAATCTGAGGTATAGGGCCTCGACCTTTGAGGCGTGAGGACCTCTCTTTTTTGCGATAGAGCGTTTGATAGACGAAGCGTGACGACGATTTTACTCAACATTGTTGGCTACTGTACATGGTTTCTTTATTTAAAACTTACATTAATCGCGTTAATAACAAGAGCCCAAAATATTCCGCTTCTTGCCCAACCCTCAAACGTTGGGCAAACAAGAGTGATTCGACTCCTTCGTTGATAGAACAACAATTCCTTATTCCCAAACCACACAGTGCGATCATTCGCTACTCAAACACATCCAAGCAATACGGATTCCCACTACTTTATCTTAACCAGCGGTTACTGATTGATACTTAATAGGCCAGGTTCTCCCACATAGCCGTGTCGTTGATATCAATGCCATTTCCGAAGTAGGCTAGAGGATTAC